TTTTTTCCATGACGTAGTACAACTTTGCATAATTATTCAATTTCTCTGCGGCTTCAGAAAATGAGAATTCTCGGTGAATTAATAAAAAAAAAAAAAAGATGTTCAGTAAAATCGCGCAAACGGAAGATGTTAAATACACTGAACTTCAGCATTCATGAATACAGATGTGCATGTAAATCATAAATGCTATTTATACACTTTTATCCAGCAGTTTCTTACCTTTCTATTCTACCGGTTATTACATAATTACATATGGCCATTTATTATCCCCTCTCATGGCATAAAACAAAAATAATCTCTAATTTCAAGTACAATTTACAAGTATATTTGAATTTCATACACCTTGTAGGTTACCATTGCAGTCGATAGCTTTCTTCTAAAATAGAGAGCGAGAGAAAGAGAGAGAGAGAGAGAGAGAGAGAGAGAGAGAGAGAGAGAGAGAGAGAGAGAGAGAGAGAGAGAGAGAGAGAGAGAGAGAGATGCAAGGCAGAAAACCAATTTAATTCAACAGCCACACGGTTAGAAAGGTGAATAACTCCATGACTCACGCAGGTGTTAACCACACCTGTGAAATTCAAAAGTAGCATATACCTCAAAATGAAAGGCATTTATAGGTAACTTATCTTATATATCGATGTGGGATATCGGAAAAGTGCAGTAGTATAGTAAATTCAACGTTTTTCTATTGTATTTAAATTAAAAGAAATTCATTTGTAATTGTTCTATTGATGCATTAGACGAAAGACAAAGAATGAAATGTGAAATAATACTTTCTTGTTTGTGTGTCTTCTATTGTTGTTTTAAGTATTTTCTTTAGTTTTTGTTTTCGTTACAGAGCCGATGACTAAATGTAATTTTTTTTTTTTTTTTTTTTTTTTTTTTAAGATTCGCGAGGCAGAGCCTCGCCCGGGCTATGCCTATTTGGGGAGCCCGGTAGTTAAATGTAATTGGAAATTGTTTCTTATGTATACCCTGAAGTGCCATTACTGATTTGTTTCTTCTTACTGAAAAGTATATTTAGAAGTATTTTGAATTACGGCTACTCTCATATATATATATATATATATATATATATATATATATATATATATATATATATATATATATATATATATATATATATATATATATATATATATACATATATATATATATTTATTTATTTATATATTTATTTATTAATAGTTTGTGAACAGCATAAGGAAGGATAAACCATATGATCTTGACCTTTTCCTTGTTTTACAGAATATCATCAAAGCGTAAGATATGTATATACATATATATATATATATATATATATATATATATATATATATATATATATATAAATATAAATATATACATATATATTTATTTATATATATACATATATATATATATATATATATATATATATATATATATATATATATATATATATATATGAAGATATAATTATATGAATATATGAATATATATAAAGATATAACTTTACGAATATATATATATATATATATAAATATATATATATATATATATATATATATATATATGTGTGTGTGTGTGTGTGTGTATGTGTGTGTATGTGTGTGTGTGTGTGTGTGTGTGTGTGTGTGTGTGTATGTGTGTGTGTGTGTGTGTGTGTGTGTGTGTGTGTGTGTGTGTGTGTGTGTGTATACACTATATATATATATATATATATATATATATATATATATATATATATATATATATACATATATATACATACACACAGCCATATACATATATATATATGTATATATATATATGTATATATATATATATATATATAAATATATATATGTATATAATTACATACATATATATATATATATATATATATATATATATATATATATATATATATATATATATGTATATATATATATGTATATATATATATGTATATATATATATATATATATATATATATATATATATATATATATATATACATATATATAAATAAATATATTTATATAGATATATATTTATGAATATATATATGTAACTATACATAAATATATATATATACATATGCAAATACATATTTATACATATATATGTATATATGTATATATGTATATATATATATATACATATATACACACATATATATATATATATATATATATATATATATATATATATATATATATATATATATATATATATATATGCATATATATCCTCATCTCGTGTAAATATACTGTATAAACTGATCAAAAATTACTCATAAACTTATACATTCATAAGTAAGTAGGTAAATTATCCCCCATAAATAAATAGATTTATTCGATAAACCACTTTATCCGCGGACTAATTAATTACCTCAGTGACTAAATGACTAAACAACCGTCTCTTAAACACCAATCCTGCCATGATGCTTTAGCCTGTGAGTGACGTCATTTCCGATGATGTAAGGGAGAGCTTTCAGTCACGTGTCTGCAATGTGGAAGCGAGATTGTTGCTATTTCTGTGTTGATATAGGAGATTAAAGAGAAATGATCTTTTGTTATGATGCTGATGTGACAGATAATGGGTTAGAATAAATCTATGGTTATAATTATGTTGAAATGATAGATTAAGGGGTAAATATATCTGTTGTTACATTCATTATTGGAGATTCGTGACCTCATAGGCTAAAGAGTCTCCATGCATGGCAGGTTCAGGCCAGGCTGTTGTAACACCCGGTCATAACACATGTGAGTGGCAATAACACTGTGGCATGGCGGTAGTACAGTGAAGTGGCTACGAAAGCACTTTGTTGTGCGATGGCCACGGAATGCTGGCCATATCACGATGTTCTGCCCATAATACAAGGAATTTGCCAGATCGCAGTGCTAAGGCTATAGTGTAGTATGTTGGCCATATCACAGTTAAATGGCCTTAAAAATGCAGTCATTTTACTGTGTAAATGGTGATAACAACAGTGGATGATCTAAACACAGTGGTGTGGCCATAACACAACAGGGTGTCTGTAGCAGGCAGTCTTACTAAAGGCAGGCCAACATGTTATAAACCGGCCAACAAAAGCGGTGTTCTAGCCATATCACTGTGGAAGTTCATCGTCCTTAAAAACACTAAGAGAAAACAAAGAAAAAATCCCTGTGTACGGACTGGCCATCAACCATACACCGCCCTGGCCTTAGCACAGTGAGTCGGCCCACAACACAGACCAAAGACGACCTGCATTTGGCTACCTGACTTCCGAGCCGCCTGAGGTAGGGGGTAAAGGTAGGCCGGTGCGTGTAGGGCAAGGGCGACGAGAAAAAAGGGAGAGAGAGAGAGAAAGAAAAAAAGGGTAGGTGACGCTGAGTAAGTATTTACAACCTTTTTTTGACACTCTGTATTCGTCGTCTTTGCGTCCTTTTGAGAATGTTGAATGTTGTTCACTCCACACATACACTGCACATCACAAGACTTGGATAGCGATTTCTTTTGACCCTTAGACTGTGTTCAAGACCACTGCTATACCTGGAAGACGTATGTCAGAGAAATATAACTATCTATCTGTATCATTTCTACTATCTGTTGATGTGAGAACAGACAGACGAGAAACTGGAGCTCGTGACTCGCTTGGCTCGGCTTTGAATGTCATACTTATGATGACTGGTGAATAATCTGTGTCATTTCAATACGTAGAAAGAGAGAGAAAATACAAGACTTTTGGCCTTCGGAAACGGCAATGAAAAGTCCCCCCATTTTTTCCTTTTTGGAATACTTTTCCTTGTCGGACGAAGGGCAAAGGTCGTAACATGATCAACAATTTTGAACCTTACGTAGTCTGTAGGATAATCTATTATCCATATCCTGTAGGGTTTTGCCCATCTCTGATCTGCCACCCTGTAGGATATTCTATATATTGTTTTGAAGCTTCTTATATCTATTTTAAAACAAACTCCCCTCTAACTATGATAAATTAGAAGCAAGGTTTAAAATATATGATCTCGTTACAGTATCCACCTTAAAAAATCTCTTTATCAAGAGTTATTCTATCATAATAAACATGATTGGATCTCCATTTCTTATCCATTCATTTACCTTTTTGGTTGTTACTCATCTTTGTATTTCCCTACATAGGTATTCGCTTACTTAGATTGTGGGAAACCGTCTAGACCACTTGAGCATGTGTTTGTTTTATTGCATTAGCCTTGAGTTGAACGTCTTCATATGACCTGTTCAGGCCTACCCTTTCTTCAATCTCTTGATGCTGTTTTCCTTACCAAGATTTGATGTCAAGTTATACATATTAATAGTTAAAAAGATGTGATTAAAGTTTTTTTGCTCTAAATATGAAAGAGAAAAAAAGTCACATTGGTGTTTTCTACATGCAGTTTATTTTTTACTTAAATACTGGAGTGTATTGATGTAGCTAAATGACTAATGCTGTCAAGAAAATGCGATGGTTGTTTTCAGTCATTTTTTTGTTCAGTTCCATTGTGCTTTTTACACATAAGTTCATGTAATTTTCCCAGTACGTTTTCTTTTTGGCATTTTTTTATGATTAGAAATGTAATGAATTGATTTGAAAAGATTTTTAATTGTTTATCTTGCTTGTTATTAAACTTATATTAACTTGCGTGTTGTGTACGCATGATTTTATTTTATTTATTATTAGTTATCGTTTGTTTTTTGTTTTTGTTTTTTTTTATTGGCGCCTTCGCTTTGTAATTCTCTGGTTCTCTCTTGTTACCCCTTTCCTCTTCTCCTAAACGTGTTTATTTGTTCTGTATCCCCGATTCTTCATCTTTAAAGGAAAGCAAAACGGTAAATTCCGTCTCACCGATTCTTAATTTCTTTTAATTTGATTAATTTTTCGTTGCAGTTATCGATTATGTTCCACAACATCCAACGACCACAACATCTGCGTTTTCTTCCACGCGTCTCATTTATTAAAAGAAAAAAAAAGAAAGACAAAAAAAAAAAAAAAAAAAATACAAGCAAGCAAGCCTATTTCCCATTTTCTGTCACTAATATTCCCGTTTTCTCCGACACAGGTGATTCAAGACTGGAAGTACGTGGCTATGGTGCTCGATAGACTTTTCCTGTGGGTGTTCACCATTGCGTGTGTGGTTGGGACTTGCGGCATCATTTTCCAAGCTCCTTCCCTCTACGATACGCGGAGTCCTATCGACCAAATGTACTCTGAGATCGGGACTGCTAGTTCGACGCTGTAGAAGACCGCCAAGGACATTTATCCTACAGACATACTTCCTTTAAATCTGTGTGTGCGTCTTTGTATGTGGCGTATGTGTATCCGTGGAGGGAGTTTGGTGTATGTGTAATGTGTAAGGGAGTGTTTGTGTTTATGTTTGTGTGCGTGAGTTATGTGTAAATATGTTTTTTTTTTGTTTTGTTTTTTTCCTGTCTTCTTCATCTCCATGTCTATTCGGTATTTTACATCGTTAATAATGTGAGAACTCGTCAACTGTGAGAAAGTTCAATTATTTTGCTTTTTGTTGTTTGCTTAAAAAAACAAAGATGTCTATCGTGCGAGACTAATGACGAATTTACGTGTAAAAATTAGTCTTCATTTCAAGTATTTCTTTCCAGTCTTTACTACAATTATAGTAGATTTGACTTAGTGTAGGTCGAGCTTTTTTCTTTCGAATTCTAGAAGTTACTTGGCGAGCAGAGGAAATTTCACTTCTGGACTCGGGAATTTAGGCGAGAGGCAGATTACGCAAGGCCAGGCAAGGCGTGGGAACTTCGAGGTAAATCATGCAATTGTCAGACAGATCATGCAGTTTTAATTATAACTGGATCAGCTGACAGGTCTTTGGATCGAAACGATAAAATGCTTCAAAATGTCATGATCATCTGCCAGAAACTGAAAATGAAGAATTCGGAAATTATAAAAAAATAATCACTCTTTTTTTCTT